CCCTACTCCCCCACCCTCTCTCTCTTACTCGCTCTCTGGCATTGATTTATACCGGCAATATTGGGGACTTTTTCAAAATGGGCTTACTATAACGTATCGTGCGCGCCACGCCGCGCCACGCCGCCCCGCCGCGGAGACGAAGGGCAGCACGATGAAAAAGGGGCTGATAGGAAAGTGTGTTGCGGAGGGGGGGGGGGGTCGGAGGAAAGGGTCTGCGAGCGGGTGTCACATTACTGTATACAGCCACAACACCGTCGCCACCGAGAGTAAACAGGAACGCTTTGCGGTGTTCTTTTCCTCATACTACCGAATGTCATTTCAAAATGTAATCACACAATAAAGTGAAACCGGTAAAAGAAACCGTGCTAGAATATTATCCTTCTTGACTTTCTTTTTGCCGTTACATCATAATTCCATTTTTGGGTGTGGCGCGCAATGTTGGCAGCGGTTGGCGTTGCGGGCGGTGCGACCGCGAGCGCGGCGCGGCGCGGCGCGGCGCGGCCTCTCATGAAGGAGCAAAGTGTCATAGTCATGCAAGAAGTAGTACTGTAATCAGCAGCTCGTTGTGTGACCCGGGAGGGAGAGGAGAGGCGGCCGGAGGCGGCTAACTGGGGAGCGCTTGACTCGCGACTGCGTTAAAACTAAACAAGCAATCTCTGTGTTGCGCTAGCGCAGCTGGAGGGCGCGCTGCTCGTTGTTGTGGCCAGACCCGGGGCCGGAGGGGGCCCGGCCCTGGCCCGGCCCAGTCCCGCTCTGTGGCGCCGCGGTTCCACTGCAGCCAACTTGTCGGTGCCATTCAGGGATTTGAACCCCCTCCGCTCGCTCTCCCCCTTCTCTCTCCTCCAGCGAAGCGCTCTCTCAGAATGTATGTCGCGCGATCGCCCAAAGATGCGGGAGAGAGAAAGAAGAGTATGGAGGAATGAGGGAGTGAGAGGATGGGGCAAAGATAGAGAGACGGAGCAGGGAGATGGGGAGATGGAAAGATAGGAGAAGAGAAAGAGAAAGGGACAGCTCTGGGGGAGGAAAAAAAAAGTTGTGCAACAGAAATATATGAGGATTAAGGTGCCGGAACGTGGGCAGAAAGCGAAGTAGGACTCATGAACAAAGGGAAGGCCGAGTGAGAAAGAGAGCGAGAGAGAAGGGGCGGGGGGCGGGGAAACTAGGGTGTAGCAAGGGAGTAGGGAGAACATGAGATAGGAAAGAAGAGGGAGAGAGAAAGAGCGCGAGATAGGACGCGTTGCTCCGTTGGCCCGTTAGTGTGTTGGTCTGGAATGCAAGGGCAAATCATCACTCTTCCCGGGCTTACTCTTCTCTTTCCTTTTCTCTCTCTCCCTCAATCCCACTCCCCCTTCCCCTTCTCTCTTCATCGCCCTCCGGCCCTTTATCGGATTTTTCAGCGGTCCAGACCCTTGCACTCAAACACTGCTGTATTTCGTGCAAACTTATCGTTATCAAGCCGCACTCTACAATAACAGTGTGGCAGTGTGGCGCCTGTTGTCAGGGCGGAGCGGGGCTGGGCGGGGCAGGG